ACCACCTTCAACTAAAGTCTACCTTCACCTCAAATCTACAACAACAATCACCATCACCATACCTTTCACCAATACCTTCAACAAACACCAACCACCTCCACCACCACCACCACCAACAACAGAAATCACCACCAACAATTTCGGAAAACACAAGACTCGAACTCTCCACCGAATTACTATACCTATGCCTCGGCCTAGCAACACATCACCACTCTTCTCATCATCACCGTTGCCGACACCCCACTACCATAACCACCAGTCGAAAACAGAGTCATTAATATAAGTAGAAACACAGATCGTCCTTTGATCCCATCTCCTCCATATTTCTCATCGGTGCTTCGAACAGGTCCGAGACCAGATCTAGATCCTCCAATAGCCGAAAATTCACATTAGAATGCACAAAGGTTGGTGAGTGGAGGGTACGCCTCACCGTGCACTGCGAATCGCCGTCGCCACCACCTCAACCACCGATGAACCACCCACAAATTAGAAAAGGTTCGCCGGCCCCACCAAATTCGGTTGCAGCCTTCTTACTCTATAGCGGCGTAGACTGCATAACCAACCCTACCAACCATCAGATCTGGTCACAAATCAGAACCAACAACTCTGATTTGCCGCTATTGCTGCAACAAGGAACCGCTCGTATCGGTGGTCAGCTCACGATATGCTTTATTGACATTGTAGTCAAATCACGATTTGCTTATGCCATTGCGTTTTCGACATTAAATGTAGGTCGAATCGAGATCAACTCATCGATGGTCGACTTGTTATCTGCTGTATCGGCAGTGGTAACATATCACCGACTTTGGTTCTGCTCCACCGCGTGTAGTGGAAAACTATTACGTGCATCAGCTTTCTCCGACAGTTCTACTCCGCCCTAGGGGTTAGGTGGGGGTGGGTAGAGTGGTGGTAGAGACTAGAGAGAGAAAAAATGAGGAGTGATGGTAGGGACTAGAGAGAGAAAATGAGTGATCCGTAAAGAGAGAGTTACAGAGTGGAGGGCTGGGTTTGGGATTAATCGAGGTGGGGTTATTCTGCAGATTAGGATTTAATTAATTACAATTAATAATCCTATTTACCTCTTAAAATCTGAATTTTTAACTTAACCCCTTTGTTTATGAAAACTAATTTTTTTTCTTACAGGGTTTTAGGTCATTTTCCCTTGCTATAAATGAGTCACCTGGATTGGACCTGGTCCGAATTGGGTGGGTCGGATTGGGGTCTTATAACACTGATCAAGCCTCAAGTATTTGCTTGAAAATACAGTTTAGGATTTATAAATAATCTGTAATTTTTGCCAAATGGATTATAAGTAATCATTGCAAGTAAAAACCGCTATAGGATTCCAATTAATTACATCATGCATTTGTTTATATTCTCATAACATCTCACATTGTTCTTGTTACAAGTTGAATTTCTCCTAAATTTAAATAATTTAAGTATCCAATTACTCAATTTAATATAAAATAAATATACACAACGGAATCAATGTTAACAAAATTGGACTCGATTAGTCCAATCAAAATAGCGGGACTAGTTAAAAATGAATAATTAGAAAGTGTAAAAGTAATTTAAGAAGCTATTCGAAATCATGTTCACTTCAGAATTAGCAAATTCAAAAAAGAAAATTTCTTCGATCTCATTTTATTCCATTCGACATACTTTATTTTCTCTAAAAGGTTCGACGTTCCCGATCAAAATTATCCTTTTTGATTAATAAAGAGGTTAAAAAACAATTTTACACTTTTTAAAAATTAGTCAAATTATAATTGAATACTGGTTTTTGGTCAACTAACGAATGTTTAGATGGAAATTGTTCCGGCCTTTAGGTCCTTTTCACCGTACCATTTGAAAGGTTTGAACCAATTCCGCTACAAGTAAAAAAATTTGGGTAATATCTACATAATTTTGAAAGATTTGAAACTACGATTATCCAATTTTTTAATTTGTAAATTTGTATCAAAATTTGTAAGTATATTATGAACCTACCAAGCACGTGGACTCTTATGTTGACTTTTAATTTAATCCAAAAATATCTTCCAAAATGACAGCCCAAGATTATGGACAAAACGCACAACATAAATATATATGAAAGGAAAAAAAAGAAACAATCTGGTCCGATTGATTTGTTTCAGCGAAAACTCCGATCACCGGGTAAAAATCCGGTAACGGAGATTCACCCGGTGAAATTTCAGTAACACCATGGATTCCCCAGAGATTCGTGAGGAAGAGCTGGACAAGATGAATAAAAATAGTCTCGGTTACACAGTTTTCCGTTCCTGTTTTGCCCTTGCCTTTTCTATTTTAACCTTATTTTTGCTATTCTTTTGCTTACTTTATTTGGCTGTATTGATCGGGAATTTGTCTATATGGAATCCCGTTTCTGTGGCTTCCCGGTGCAAAATTGTATCCAGCAGTAAGTGATTGTCGTTTACTCGATTCTTCTTTACGCACTTCGATCAATTTACTTTAGTAGTTTAATTTTTCTGAAATTTATTTATGGGACCTGCTTATTAGTTATTAATTTGTAGAAAAACGGAAAGAATTCGAGCTTTGGATAATGCTAATGGGAAGGGGAATGAGCCGGGCTAGTCTGTCCTCGTCTCGCTCTTTTTCTCTTTTGTTGGTGCAGTGAATTGTCCAAATAAAAGTGCTTTTGAATTTTGGTATAATTTTACCAAACGTTATTTAGAGAATTCTTTTGTACACCGTTTTGATTTCCAGTTACTCTTTTGAAAGAACTAAAAATTTATTGCATGCATGATTGAGCTTTGCAGAAGACTTTTGCTGCCATTGTACTGTACACTAGCATTTTAGGATAAGTTCTTTGCACGTGAGAACTTGAGTTTGAACTTAATTTTTATGAACTTCTAAGAGTGTTCCTGCTCTTATATATTGCCGAAATAATATAATTACCATTTTGTTTTACCATGAGTCAAGTATTAGTTGGTCTATTAGGCTAGATCTCTGTTTTCTATGCAAGATAATCATTTTTTTTGGGAACACACAACTTAGATGTTAGGACATGCATTGCATAGGTATAAGAAACTTCCATTTACAACGCGGTGTGACCCATGGTACATGGAAAGAAAGACTTACCAATATTAATACGATGCGATTAAGAAAAGATTCAATGAATGTGTGGTGCCACCTTGTAACAGTTTAAATTTTTAGATGAGGCGATTAACATGGTATTAGAGTCATCAAATCTTGTTGCCACCCATTTAAGAAAATTGTGCATGTATCATATTTTTTATTAAAAACTTAATTGGTATGTAAATGAGGAGACGTGTTGAAAATAGAATTTGAATGAATATATGTGGTTTCTCTATAACAACTTGAGTTTTTAGACAATATTATTAACATAATGATCTATGATCGTAAAAGATTTGATTATATTGGATCTTTTGGTAGATGTGGTATTAGATCAAACAGAGTGGTGAAAAAAATTCATTTACTCGACCTCATGTTTCCTCAAACAACTTGTATTAATTTTGAACACACTAGGACATGTCAGACACATGCTGGGACACATTGTGGCATGTTGATAACAAACTAGGACACGGGAAGGATGGTTTAATATTGAAAGATTTTAAAACAATAAATAGGTTAAACCATAACATGACAATCTTTCAGGTTAAGAGAAATTGGATAACAAGTAACCTGTTCTTATGTTTCTTGTTCTTAGAATATTGTTTCCATCACATTTAATTCTCAGCTTATTAAAATGAAGTGTTTTATTGAAAGTGTCCCTATCATCTCTTATCCATTTTTTTCCCCGGGAAAATACCATGTTCACATGTCCATATTCTGTTCTATCCATGACCCCATTCCGTGTTTATGCTTCTTAGTTTTGGTGTGTAAACTATAAAACAATAGTTACAAGGAAAAATTATACATAATGCTTTCATGAGAAATTAGGTGGCTTTAGTTAGTGTTCACATTAAATCATAATGGACGAGGTCGACATAAGATAATGGGATGAGGTAATTAAAGAGGATTTTAATCTTCATGATTTATCTTTCATGATGGCTGTCTTCTCGAATATACGAACATGGCGCTGTTTTAATGTTAGCTAGAATGTAGCTATAGGAAGGAATAAAATTTTATGTCAAGAGGTAGAGGTAAATGTGCTTCTTGGCTTGACAGTTGCTAAGGATAGTATCATCTCAATGTTGAAAAGTGTTCGCATTAATTCTATTTGTTCGACTTCTAAAAGTAATTCAATTTCTTGGAATTTTAAAAACATTTTCAATATTTTAAGGAAATATATCTGATTTATCTTCCTTGATATCCATAATTGAGAGTGTTTCTGTGAAGCTTCATTCTTGAGTAGAAGGTCATGAGAGTTGGGTATGCAAGCCTCTTTTGCGAAGCCTGTACCTAAGCTCTTATTAACTTGTCTAATTTTCAGTTATCTGAATTGTCCACTTTTATTTGGTAATCTTAACCTTATCGGAGTAAGGTGTTTGCTTGGTTGTTTTCTTATGGAGGATTAATATATATGATTTAATGAAAAAGAAATGTCTTCATTATCTGTTTCTCTTTCGCGTGTAATGTATAAGAGGAGAGCAGAATGTGTTGGTCATTCATTGTTGCACCATGTTGGTAGATTTTGGCAGTGCAACTCGTTATAAGAAATTGGGTTTGAATGGGTTGTTTGTTAAAGTTGCACTGGCTTATCTCAGGGGAGAATATTACCATTTGAGACTGTTGCTTTTTACTATAAAAGTATATATGTGAAGTGTTTATAAGCAGTTTAATTTATAAATGGATAGAAGTGAGTGGTGGATAAGTGGAATAAAGTAAAAATGCCATCTTTTGACTTCTAAATTCATATATGGAATGAAATTAATTCCCTGGCTCTTTCAATTTCTGGGAAAGGCTCTTTAGGGTTGTAAGGAGGCCCCTCCTCTAGAGATTTGTTACAGAGATGGATTTGGTTAACGCTGTGTATTTACTGTACCGCCTACCGATGGACAGACATGATAAAGGGAGGGGGGGAGGGGGGTCTCTTAAGAATAAAGAAGACGAATAAAATCTAATTCGTGTGCATGCTAACAAAAGAGTGGATCCAATACCAAAACGTCTTCTTTCTTAGAAAGTGCAGCAAATACTTGATGATTTGTGGGATATCATGCCCCACGAGTTAGTTGCCAAGTGCCCCCTAAGAGGGCAGTCTACCATAAGATCGTGTTGGATTTCAGGGACTAGGGAAAATAGGTAATCGAATCCTTTTCATGCAACAATATGCTAACCGGGCTTACTAGAAGGAATCTAAGTCCTCAAGGCAAAGCCCATTTTTAAAAGCTGGAAAGCATTCCACCTTACAACAAGACTTGCGTAGGAAAGAAAGCAAACTCTGTCCTCTCTTAGGGTGACGAGGGACAAAGCAGCAATCATAAAGCATTGAACCTTAGCCTTAGCCGAATTCGAGCACTTCGAATCTCATAAAATTTCTCTAGCCATTTTTGCCATTTTTTTTTAATGAAATGTATGAATAAAAAGTGATTTCACCGTTATAAGCAGATTATAAACATCAGCCAAACATAAGCTAATTCATGTTTGTTGGGAATAAACATTTTAGGTCACCTTGCCTTCTATTTCTGCCCCGCAGATGTCTCATGTATTGTGATTTGAAAAATCAGCTGCTCATTTATTCTTCACCAGTTACTTGAATAGTTTGATGTATCCTTTTCTCTAATGAATGATTAATTAACTCGGCAAGTTTCCTTAGAACCTGGACATTTATTTCAATCTCAATTTCATGTAATTATGACTAGCAATTTATTATTTCCCTCCGCTTAGGACTCTACCTCAGCGTTCGTCCCTTTTTTTTTGTCTTCTTTTATCAAGTTATTAATGTTCTTCTTTTATAAAACTGAGAGTCAATAAAGCAAGAGCGGGTAAAAGACTTGCGTTGTTATTTTGTACTATATCATTTAACTGCCCATTGGAGGCTTTATTATTAATGTCAGCACAGGGACACTGATGTAGACATCTTTTCAGGTGTGGATCTTAGGTCATCTAAGGTCTGTGAATTGGGATTGTTAAATTATAAAGCCAAGCATGTGTTCCACCCACGTGAGAGAAAGAAATATCGTTGTCATTATGACTACTACTGGGCTTCTATATTTGAGGTGATCATTGCTACTTCTTGCTCAAGTTACGATCTTTATTTCTCAGACAAGTTTCTTATACCGTTGGATGAATCAGCAACTTTGATCCTCATTCATTGAAATCATCTGTTTGATTCATAATTACTAAAATCTAATTTTTTGCTAAAATCTAGTACTTGTCTAAGATGCTATGTTGTGAGGTAATTTCAAAATGTTTATGTTACTGAAAGAGGTTAGTAAGTATATGTTCTGCTTACTGCTGCACACCTTTGATGTTTTGGGGACTCGATGGTTCAGTTTATTAGGATTTAACATTGATGGAAACTAAAGATTGGGCTTTATTTTTCCTTCTCACTAAGATATTGTGCTACTAAGAATTCGAAAACGCGTTTGATATGACAGCTTGGTAATCTAGCAAATTGGTGGACCTTTTAATCTACATTGATACTTTCAAAACTTAGAGGGTGTTTGACACCCATTTTNAAATATGAAAACAGAAGCATGTCTGATTGAGTGGACACTTTCGGAAAAACAGCATGATTAAAAAAAAACCCATATTACCAAAGCATTTAAAAACCTTCTCAAATTTCGCACAAGTAGGCTATCAAAGCTTCATTGGAATGAAAAAACTGAGCCCCTATTTGGCCCCCATTATTGTGCATTTTTTATGGTTGAAAATTTTTGGAATAGTGATTGATAGGAGAATGTGTGGTGGAAAAGTTATGAAAAGTTTTAAATTTGTGTGTAATATTATTTTATTTGAAGAATGTGTGGTTGAAATGAAGAAAGTGAAAAAATGAGAATGAGAATGGGTGCCAAACAGGGGCTTCTAGGTTTGAGCTGCCAAATTTACACGCCTTTCTGTCTCTCTGTTTGGCCTATCCTTTAAGTTATGTGTAGCAACCTACATTTTCGCTCTTATCTGTAATTGAATATGCTTGCAATATAAATAGTATCTAATTGTACGTAACTGGACTTGATCAAAATCCTTCAATAGGGTTCTTCATTTTTTTATGTTTGGGATATGGAAATAAGTCTCCTTTGAGCTATTTGGATTTCATTGTCAAAATCACTTTTGTTTTTCAATATAACAGGTTGAATATAGTGATCATTCAGGTCAGGCAAGACTTGCATTGGCTGAAGCTCCAAAGGAAGCTCTCCCCTCTTACTGTAGACCCAATTTCGGTGCTGCTTGGCTAACCAAAAATAAATTCAAGGTAGGTAGTGAAACCTAAAGCCTTAGATGTAATGATGTTCAAAAACCAACTATATGTGTTGAAAATTATAGAGTAAATATAATTGAAATAGAAATACAGTGAGGAATATAGAATTTGTGCAACTGTTCTTGTGTCTTCTGCATTACCAAGTGAAATACCATATTTAGGGTTACAAATAACGATAGATAATTCTCCTCGTGAATACCTACCACTATCAAACCTATACAAATAAAAGGAAATGAGAAAACAAGAATCTTTCTAGAATCTGAAAATATTCTACACTGGTTTTACTGAAAAAAAGGCTAGTAAACAAGGAAAGTAAAACTTCCAACAGTATGAGTTAATATTTTATCTTTGAAATCCTTTTTTAACCGGTTTTGATCGCCTATGATACACTAGTCTAAATTACTCTCTAAATTTTTTTATAAGCCGCACATATCTATGTTTTTTTGGCTTATTCAGGTGAATGAAACATATGGATGCTGGTATACGTTGGGCATGTCTAAGGTGCACATAGACCAGGATGGTTTATTTAATTGCCATGCAAAAGATCCATCAACCATTGAAATGCTTAGAAGATATTCTATTCTGTGAGTATCATGCCAACAATTTTCTTCTTTTTATGGTCTCTTCATGGCCATGAGTACATTTGGAAGTTTGCATACTAGTTTTCTTCTGCTTTTTGGTGTTATGCTGTATCATTTTTATTACTTCTGCTGGGTACTCCTAATTGCTTTTAAATTTGGGTTTACTCTCTCCTATTATTTTATTAGCCATTGATTCAATAGTTGAATATTTCCCAGAAGAGGTAGTTTTGTATTCAGAGGAACTCTGAAAAATAAATTTTGCGTGTTTGGGTAAGCTTACAAGTTACTTATTTTACCAAGCATGATTTATAAAGTTATTTTTATACTAACAGAACTTAACTTTCTAGAATAGTTCTAGAGAAAGAACTTTTAAGCTCAGCCTCATTGTGTGGTGTTGTACTTAGCCATCATATCAGACAATTCTTTTGAAGCTTCTAATTCTTTTATGCAGCATGCCAGTATGCTGCGAGTGATCGCTGGAACTGATGATTGATAAATAAATTTCGTTTATTATCTTCCCAGATATACATAAATTGTTAAAAAATGATCATCTCTTGAAATTCTGTCTGCTCAATATTCTCATTGTGTATTTTTAGTGTTTTCCTGTCATTTTTCCTTTTATCAACATAAGATGCTTTTATCATGACAGATTCACGAGGATATTGAAGTCATGGCTTGCTGGTGAGGGATCCATAAGGATATGGAGATGGGATATAATAGCCGGACTTCTTACTGGTTTTTCAACTTCCTTGATATCCATCACCTTGGTTCGGCTTATACGGCCGTTGAAATCTTTTATAAGTCGAATCCACACTGTAAGAAATCTTCCTCTCCATTTTAATACTATCCTATTAAAGCGAGCTTGTTTGTTAGTAGTATACATCTCGTTTATGAGTTGGGTCACCGTACAATACGTGAAACGACTTGGACTCCCCTGGATGATATAGTTCACCATAGTAGGCAGCACACATTTTTCTAACCGTGCTCTATGTTGTACCGATATGAGTAGGTAACTGTAACTATTATGTGATGATATATTTACTAAAGTTGCTTAAATTTTGGTACGACTGAATGTACTAGGAGAAGTGGATCTTTTATTATCCCCTTTTAGCCCTCACTTTTTATTTAAAGGCTTCGATATTTTTTATTTTAATCACCAATTTTCTGCTAGTCTGCTGGTAAATGCTACCCTTCTTGAATAACAAATTCAGAAATTCTCTGTTTTTTATTCATGGCCTGGTCTAAAAGTTCAAGTGGTTGTCAAGTTAAAGTGATAATAATAAAGAAAAAAAAAACCATTTGGTGCTGAAACTGAAAGTTTGAAAACTGCTACAAATAATTAATTTAATTTCTAGTGCTATTTATGCAATGTAGTTCAACGCTTTGGGCTATTGCCAGCTCGTGAGAGCTTGATTTCCCTCGAGCTCGTGGGCTTTGCGACTCCAAGAGTGTTGTTCTGGGTTTTATCCTGGAGTTATGCTACATGAATCATATGGATTACACTTTTGTTTACTTGGGTCTATTGCCTTCCTCACATGGGGTCCGGTCCCATGCATTTATTGGACGTGGGACCCAACCCTTATGTTAGAGAGGGGGTGGGGTGAGGTTAACAAGAGTGTAATTCATATGGTACAAATAGCATAATCCTTTATCCCGTGTTTAATTTTTTGAACGTTTATCTTTAAATCATTTTTACAAAAAACTTGTAACCGGTTATGCTTATATGAAACAATCATAATTTAAGAAACCAAATTTTAAAATATCGAACTTGTAGAATTCTATAGAAAATAATGTCAAATCAATATTATCTTATTTAAAATTATAAATATATGAAATTAAATAAGGGAATAATGTGAATAAATTGAGGATTAGAAAATTATTATTTATGATTATTGTATTTCATCTTATTACTTCCCAAAAGGCTGTAAGTTATCCTCGTCTCTGCGTTCTCACAAGTCCTAAATGGCATGATTATCCAGAATAGATAAAGAGATTGGGCATAAATTTCCTTCTTGTCCACTATTTTTCCAGATAGTTGGCCCTACGTCGTTTTTACTGCTATTGGTGAAGCACAAAATTAAACAATCATTTGTATACAACTGTTCCAATAACAGATATCCATCACAATATTTTTCGATCATTTTGTTCGAAAATTGTGTGTGTGACCTAATATATTATGTGATCGTGACTTGTAGATTGTGTGACTGTGACTCCAATCACAAAATCGCGACAATCTACGATTTCAAATATGCATATACAATTTAAGAATGTAACCTAAATTGAGATTTTGTGATTTTAAAATCCGTTGAGATGGTAATTAAACTTCAAATTTGGGATTACATACTAAATTTATATTATTTGATACTATGACTTTAAAAAATTCAAATATATATTTTATATATAATTAACACTTGATTGTTTGAGGAAAATTCTTAATGATCTGATTAATGATAATTAAATCTTAAAACCATAATTTTACTTAATTTTCTTATTTAAAAATGAAGGGTTGCCTCATTTGCATGCTTATAATTGCATAAATACCTTATTCATGTTTGCAGTTATTTTATGTAAAATAAAGCAAAACATTATTCTCATGCATATTTGATGTGCCATGTTAAACAAAGGATGAAAAAAAAAATTCGTTCAACCGTTACCTACAGCCCTGCCTCAAATGGGAACGAGAATTACCCACCTAATCAAGTAAACGGCGGTTATTGTTGCCTCGAAGTAGGTATGGGGCAAGTACAAGCAACATGGTCCATGTCCCGTTTAAAATTTATTTAAAATTTAAGTTTTTTATCAAATAAAAAGATAAAAAAAGTTATCATCATTTTAAAGAGAAAATGTGTTGTTTTTAACAAATTGAAAAAAAAAGTAATAATATTCATTAAGTAAAAATATAAAAAGTAATAATAAAAAAAATGGGGTTAAAACAGGCTCCGTTCCGCTTTAAACGTGTATGAGGGCGGGATAAGGTAACAAAAATGCTCGACAAAACGGGAGAAGGAAATGGCCGACCAACCTTCATACCCGCCCCGTTGTTATCCCTAGAACAACCTAATAATATAAATGAACAATATTTTATTTTATTTTCATTCTTTAATATTACCATTCAATCCTTCGTATCAAACCTGCCAAGAAAATAGATAGCCTCTTACACTGTAGAATCAATTTTGTAAACTTTGTCAAGAGTAAAGCTTGGTCTTTCCCATTCCAAGCTTTCTAACATATAACAAAGACGAGATATAACTGCTTGATACAATATTCCGAAGACTGTTCGATTGAATTCTGGACGACGCAACTGTCAAATGCACTCAATATACAGTAAAAAAGCTTCGACCAGAATCTTATAAATTTCGATGCACGAATGTTTTTCAAGTTTTCCCACAACCACAAATTGATACATAGGCATTGAATGCTTTCGAAGAAATGTTGATCTTTGTTTAACGTGGTATCAGAACTTGCCCGTATCTGAAAGGATCCTTTCGATCTCTTCAAGAAGGCGTTCCTTTTCTACGGCCAAGTCTTGGTTCTGCTTTTGAAGCTCTTCAATCTGCTTAGTCTGTTCTGAATCCTTTCTACAAATTTATCACAAAACAATTTGGTTAAAAACACAAGTTGAGGTTTGAAATGATTTATATTATACGCTCAAAGTTTATAAAAAGTTGATAAAATCGACTTTTAACGCGAACTTCTCATGCTTACCTATTCATGAAGGACAGATTGAGTTTAAGCGAACGCACTTCCTTCTCAAGATTTTCACACCGCTTCAGAATGGATTGCATATCCGAAGGAACTGCTGGTGTTGAACTTCTTTCTTTTGCTTCGGCCATCCTGCATTACTCGGAAAATTCAACATCAAGAAATTGTTCAAAAGAATTGAAAACAAATTATATACGCAATTCGCAGGGGTCAACAAGCAATTAATATTTCATGATGAGCAAAAGAAGATGCATACTTCCGTGACCGTTCCACTCTCCGTTTTTTGGTTGGGTCTCCTTTGTCCACTGTATGAAATGAATAAAGCGAATCAGACTTCAAATTCTTTAAAGCACAAAGAAAGCAGAATTGGCATATGAAACACTCACTAGCTTGAAGACACAGTTCATTACCTGAACCAGCTGATGTTACTGATCCAAATCGAATTAAACCTCCTTTCTGCTAAAGAATGAAAAAACAAAATTAGAACGAGGTACGTTTTTGCAGAACATTTAAGCACAGCCATGGGATGAGAAGTCGAATTGATTAGAGTTTAGAAGTACCTTTTGATCATCTTTCAAGTTGTCGTATATGCGTTCTCTGATATCTATCATTAAAGAAATAGAAACTACATTAATTTGATGTTCGTTTCTATAAATATGAAAAGAAAATTGGCGATTAAATCGTGCTCTGTGTACCTTTGACTCTCGAACAATCTTCTGGGCTCCTTTTATTCGTCCATTGTTGTTTCATAGAGCTTTCGCTAACACTTGGAGCTTGAGCTGTAATGCAAGGATCATCACAGACGTCGAAACCATTTGAAACTACAGGTGCTGCAGCTGAAGATTCGCTTTGAGATGGTTCTCGAGATATTGTGCTCATTAACGCTGGGTTCAAAGGAGCCATAAAACTTTCCAGGTTGATACCAAATGACTCATCAATCGTTTGTAAAACACCATTATCTTTTACTTCAACTGTAGATACATCATGGAAAGCTCCCTGAGTTTCATAGATTTGAATTCCTTGCCCCTGATTACTAATGTTGCCTAAGACTTCTTCGGTACCATAGTAGCCAAAAGAACTGTCCTCAACAGTTTCTCTCTCGACATGGTTACTGAACTTCTTTCGCTCTAGCGTGCCCTTTAACATGCTCACGACAGAAGAAATCTTATCAGCAGTCCCCAATTGAAGGTTGTTGAAATTAGACGACGAGGAATTGGAGGGAGACATAAATGTACTGATCTGGTTAGGAATCTCGGTCATTGGCATGTTAGTGAATCCGATTGCATCTGTATGTTCTTGATTTAAGTTGCTGACACCACTTGCAGATATGTCACGCATGGCCTCCATGCCTAATGATGTCTGTGAGTTTTGCAGGGCGACATACCTCCTCCTTCAAGAAAATGCATACAATCATATATTCCATAGGTAAATCAACTAAAAGCTCTCATGTAGGGCCTTTTTTGACGTAAGGGTCACGTAGAGCTCTCACTTAGGTTCTATTTTTGTACTATGGGGCTAGTAGAGATCTCACTTAAGGTCTTTTGGGAAGAAACAACGCTGAATCGTTCATTCTAGCCTTTCGTCATCATAGATGTTTATAATTAGCAGAAAATTATTAGGTCCCGTTTAAGTTATCATTTTCAGGCCAAGGATTACACAAAATCTACAAAAAAATATTCTTTTAGAACTCAGAGGGTACCTTAATTCAGACGAACGACTTCTAGTCATTGGTTGAGAACTGTGAAACCATGCCTGTGTATAAGTTAAACGTGAGAATCACTTTTAAGTTTAATAATGTGAATTATCTTCGAAGCTAATCTTTCATACCTTTGCCAAGAACAGATTACTTGCCTGCAGTCCTTTGTCAACTCCATTCCTAGTGACAATGAAAGGAACACTTACACCAATGGATTTGTAGAATTTTTAAATTAGAAACAACTACATTTAAGCAGTAAGCATAACATAGTAACCGAAGGAAAGAAAACAGAAGTTAAACGTAATGGATCTAACTACAATTTCAATGAATGATGACACAGAAACATCAATTACGTAACCAAGCTGGATCGATGACACAGAACATCAAAAAGTTACCTCGTTGAGTTGAGATCATTCGAGGAGTCAGCAGCAATGGAACTAGTTTGTGGCAATATAATGTCGTCATTTTGTTTCTTGTGGTTTGCACTTCCATGTTGATTAGTTAATCCTGCTAGTTCAGTTGAGATCCTGCATATTACATCATTCTCTATCAACATGAGATGCAGGGGGTAACAATTTAATGTGAATGCTATCAATTTAAACAGACTAACCTTCGTGATGCTTGTCGAGGACGATGCATAATGCTTGTTGAGTGGCAACCATTGTTCTGATATTAAATGTGTATTAGTTGTGATAGAAAATGGAAGGGGAATAGTAAAAGTAAAATGGAATAAACACCAGATCCAGTCGAAAAACCCTCCAGCAAAGATTAATTTTGGTTCAAAATTGATGGATATACCCTATCTTTCCAGCCTAATATACAGCTAGGATATAAGGCTGTAAATGAAGGCAAAAACGAAAACCAAACAATTTTTTCTTTTTCAGATTTAGTTAGATTAAGTAGACGGACTCTAGAACTTCATCGAACAAACCTTAGAACTGTGCATACATTCTAGACTAAATGCAAAGACAACATAGGAGAATAGTACAATTTCTTGCCTCTCCATTTGTGAGCCAGCTTTTGAAAAGTTCCTCGCTATCAGTACGTAAGTTCTGACTAAAATTCTTGAATCCCAACATCTCCATGGTT